ATAGTGTGGTGGTGTTTGGGTTTTTTTTGATCCACCAGCTGTTTGCTGTCTATTGGTTGAGATTGAGACCTTTCTTTAGGCCTCTGGTGTTTTGCTGTGTTTTCTTTGCTGTTCTTTTGTGATATCACTTCAAGGTCAAAAATGAAATGAGTCACTTGTGTGGCTAGAAAGATTATTCAGGGTTATAATTAAAAGCATGAGAATTTTGGAAGGGCTATTATTAAACCTCATAATTTAGGGTTTATCCTTATTCAGAAGTCAGGTTGTGAACCTGTGGGGAAGAAGGGGTGGCAGATTATCCCATACCTCTCTCTGTCATCAGACAATGACAGACTCTGAGCTTGTTAGCACCCAGAGGTGATTCGTGATGCCTTACAGCCGACATCGCGGACCAGCCACAACCATCTTGAACAGTCACATGCAAAGTCTTTGAAGGAGATTATTTTTGTTGTTTTGCAGTCAGATGTAAAAGACAAATACTAATTATGAGGAGGAGACAGTGAGGCCTCCTAGAAAGATGTTTTCCTCTGTAGTGCTTTCCCAGGGAGTCATTTGTAAAACAGTGGTTGTACGTGGTAAAGCAGAGCCGTGCTGTATTTGCAGACCTCTGGGCTTGAAAAGGCCAGTGACACCTTGGTGTGGTAACTTGGTGTAGGGGTTATATTTGCAGCCAGCTGAATGAGCCCAAGTGCTTCCTCTTGGTGACACTGCTCTGGCTGCCGATTCTCTTGCACCCTGCTTAGTTACAAACTGACTGTGGGGGACCCCATGTGCTGGAGGGATACCCCTATTGTACGTGCATAGCTGGTGCCTTCCTAATGGTCAGGATTCAAGTGCTTAGGGTTTTTTTCTGGATTTTTGCAGGAAGAATATGCTTCGGAAAAGATTAGGTAGTGTTTTCCATTCACATCTCAGGGCTCGAGGGATAATATGCCATTATTTCCCTCTAGTGAATATGAAGTCAAACATTGCAGTGTCTTTGCGTATAGTTAAGGAGACCTTGCATGAGACAGACTTCTTCTAGAGCACCTGGTCTCGGGAGACATGCCTTGCATTTAGCACAGTGGCTAAGGGAGTTATTTTGTTTGTAGCAGTTTGTCGAATGTGCCAGGCAATACACAAAAGCAGAATAATGTCTGATGTGAAGATCTGATGCAACCAAAGGATAAGGAAAGGTAAAGAGAAAGGGGAATGGTCAAAATGTAACACCTTACATGCTTCTCCTCTTTCTCACTTTCCTTTGCAGTATTTTACATCCTTCTGTTATCTCTCAGCCTTGGCATAGTCAGTCAGCTAAGTTTATATGGATGGCTTATTAAAAGTGGTCTTTTTAAGATGGTTTGTATGCGAAAGCCTTTGTGAACTGACTCAGAAAAGGGAAAAATGTTTCTCCTACCTGCTTTCCCAGCTTTCTCCCACAAGAATCAGATTAGCTTCTCAGATTTGTCCCAGCTTTTCAAGCTCAGTGACTGAGAAAATGAAAAAGAATCTAGCCTGGATTTCTTGCATGGTAATAGAAAACTCTGTGAATATCATCCCCAGGACAGCCCATCCTGGAGTGCTGATAAACTGACTGTCAGTGCGCTCATCACAGTGCAGGAGGAGTCCTTATTCTCTGCGTTGCAGGTGTCCTTGCAGCAGAGTTTGATGCTTGTACAAACAATTGAAAAATCTTGCCTTTAAAGTTCTTGTGGAGATCCATCTCAGATTGCAGTGGCTTTCCTGTAGGGATCTTAAAAGTAACAGAAAACCTGTTTTGAGGCATCATTCTTCCACTGACTTTGCAATGCAATTTCATTTTATCCAGCCATACCTCCTGGTTTTCTTTTTCTTGACCTTAAAATTATGGGTAAAGATGCAGAAACTACATATGCTGTGCAGGTAAATTTTGTCAGCTACAAGATCACTAGGACTGTTCAGTAGCGATGCTCAGATTTAATAGAAAATACTGCACTGTTTTTTGGTTGTTTGTGGGGTTTGTTTTTAACAAAAAAAAACGAGAAGGGAGAACACAATGAAATAAGAACTATACTGAGGCTAATACATGTGTCAATGCAGCTAGGAGTTAGAAAAGGGCTATACTGTATATGCCAGAGGAAAAAATGTACATCAAAGAAGAGAGGAGAAGCAAGAGATAGGGAAATGCAAAATCAAGTATTCAAAATGTTCTGTGTTGCCAAAAAGATGCAATAAGTGGCAAGAGAAAGATCTGTGTAATCAGAAGCAATTATTTCAAGGGGAATTTCTCTGTTACCAAGAGTATTAAAGGCTGTTTTCCATGAAAAGAAATCAAGTAAATAAAAGCACAAGAAGCAGAGGTTGTCTGATTTGATCCTGTTTCAGAGTGTGAACGTTGAATTACTTCTGACTATACATAATAAGTAATGCTTTATGTTTCTCTGTGCATGGAGAGGAAGTGATATGAACGGATCGACAGCCTGTTTGCTTTTTATAAGCCTCCTCAGTTGCATACTGCCCTTCAAGGCTGTCCTGTCAATGGTACCATTAGGGTTATGAACAAGAATTATGATCAGAAGGCACTCACTGTGGGGAGATGCCATTTCACATACTCAGCAGAGTTGCCCGGGGTCATCACAGCTTCTCACTAGTCGCAGAGCTATTGGCTCACAATTCAAGTGCCACTGATTGCCCCAGGAGATGAGGCTTGGATGCTGATGACATACTCAGCCAAACTGAGCTAGTGCTGGAATAAAATACGCCCCAAACTATTCCTGGCACATTAATTTTATGCTTAGAATCAGATATACCTCTTGCTATTTTTGCCTCCCTGAAATGTTCACGTTCTTGTATCCTAGTCCCTGAATTAAGAAGAAAAGTAGCTAATACAGTACTTCTGAGACTAGCATTTAACTAAAATGTCAGATCTGATAGAGATCTCTGATGCATCTGAAAAAGAAGCAGTGAGCTTGCAGAGCAAAAAGAAAAAATAGCATAGCAGATTTGTTTGCAGTGTTCCCAAAAATGCAAAACTTGAAAGAATTGTCATTTGTGGAGTGCTGGTGATAGACAGTAGCTACAGCTCTGCCCCCAAGTATTTTATTTCTAAGTGATCAGATAGCTAATTTGTCTTCAGATTATAGTTGTCTATAAAATACAAGGTTGTATGTGATGCTTATTAATGTGATATAGAATGTACTATTCAGTCTTCATATATGCAGTCAAATTCATAAACGAGAAGGCCGTGGCAGTCTGCCTGTCACAGTGCTTGACCTGCGTCATGCAATCCTCAGTGTTGTGTCTGGTCTGCTGTTGAAGTTGTAACTTCTGATCATCTTAAACCTATGTTTTAGGTGCTTGGTCAATCCTGATGTAAAGATTCTTATAAAAAATCAGTAGTTACTCTTGCTGTGTCAGAAATAAGAGCGGATGTACTCATTTTTGTAAGTTTGATCTGAAGTTCTTGTTTCATGAATCCTGCTGGTTTTTAGTCTGATAGGTGAAGGGGTCCGCCTTCTACTACAGAACTTCTGCTATGTGTCCGCTCGCAAACCATTGTGAAATCATCTTTACAGTTTCACTTGAATGAACAAATAAAAATAACTTTTCTAGTGTCTTATTGTAAGGCAGGTTTTAAAAGTCTTATGGCTTTTGCATCTTTTAAAATTTTCAGTGCGGTGCATAAATGTCCAACGGGTTTTTTTTTTTGCATTTGGTGTACGCACAGGTGATATTACTGCCTTCCTCCTCCACCTTTTCTTCTGTGTACAGTTGAGAGGTTTAGATCACATTTGGAAAAAACAGTGGGGAATGCACACCAACTGATTCTCTCAATCCTCAACATGATCATTTCCACTTCTAGATGTACAATGCAAAAATGTTACCCATGCCGTTTCCATTTAAATGTCTGCAGGAAATCTGGTGGCCTGACTTGCGCTCAGCAGAGCAGCTGGGTATGGCTCTTGGGGCCATGGAGGTGGGGAGAGGTTGTGAGCAGTGGTGCTGCCCAGAGCTTGCCTTGCTGCCACTGTGGTGTTGGGCGAGGGTTGAGTCTCCACTGTGCTGATTAAACGTGAGAATTAGCATGCTCCGCTCTGCTCTATGGCCTGACCTTCCAGCCCTTTTTCAGGTTTCCAGTGATGTTAATCTTACATTTGTCTGAGTAGAGACTGGCTTGTTTAGAACCTACCTTTGGTGAAACTAATAATTCACTTACTGGTGAGCTTCTAGAGTACAGTAATCTGGGCCTCTTGGAAAGCCCCTGCCATTTGCGTACTGCTCCACCATGCTGTCTTCTGTGTGCTGCCTGCATGAAGTCTGCAAGGAAATCTGTCTGGAGGTGGTTTGACTGGGAAGAGGTGGGAGGCTATCTACACTTACCAGTGTCTCAGAAAACATTATAGCACCTCCTCCTACACAAATAATTACAGGACAGTAAGGAAGTTACCAAGTGAGAGGGGAAACATGCTCTCAGGAGGGCAGCATGTGATAATTTTCTGTTAAAGAGTAGTTTCTTCAGCAGAATTGACCTTGTGATGTCCATAGTTGTGAACATGCCCACACCATTTGGAGAGCTAGAAATATAATTACAGCTTGTTTTTTCTTCTTTACTTTTCAACAGAGTGTTGAGAGTTTGAAGTGTGGAATAAGAGCAACAGGAGCTAGTCTTTGCGTTTGCAGGAGGGAGCTGTAAAAGACTGAATGCGGGTATTTCTATGTACACTAAATGTATTAGCATGAATTGAATATTGAGTAACCTAGTAGGATTTTTAGCCAAGCTTGCCTGTTTTACTGTGATAACTGCCAGTTACCTTGGGCCTTAAAGCCAAGATCTTTCCCCACCTTCCAACCTGTTTGATTTTAGAAGTGAGTTCCTTATAGGAAAGAAGCAGTGCTTAAGTGAGGCACTGATCTTGGCTCTGTCTAGTGACCAGAAACACTTCCCCAGTGCAGGCACTGCCGTAGTCCACAAGCTGTTTCTTATAAAAACAACTTAAAATGGTGACAGCTTCGGCCTGAGTCAAAAGCGTTTTGTCCTGGCCATGGAAATTACTGGCAATGTCAACAGTCGCAGGCTTCCCTTGAAGGCAATTGCAGCCATGTTCAAAAGCACAAAACAAAATGATCCTCAGGAGTATTTCATAGGTGATAAGGAGATGCCAGAGGAACAAGGGTAAGTAGTTGCTTAAAATCCTTTCTTGTGCGTGAAAATTTTCTTTGTTTATAGGGAGTAATTCCAGGTCAAAACATAGAGTCATTCCAGGTCTGAAAGTTGGTCACTAGATACGGGATGCCATCTCCAGGCTGATGGACTACCAATTCTTCTTTCTTCCTAGCTAAGAAACTGGTTCAGACAGATCTTTTTGAGCAGTCTTCAATGATTTTTAGTAATCTGTGCAGACATTTTTCTTTTGTTCACTTACTTCTCTTTGGACTCAGGAGAAGGGGGGGTTGGACCAGATGACCTCCAGAGGTCTCTTCTAAACTTAACTATTCTGTGATTCTCTGAAGGATAAACTTTCTGTTCTGTATTACGTTGATCAAAGAGCAGTTGCTTTGTGCTGTTTTGAATGCTTTGTGCTTTGCCACGTGCAGCTCTAGGCTGTGTCCATTGATCCAGTTGGTGCGTCTGTTGTAGTTGTGCTGTGACATTCAACGTGGATTAAGGTGCTCCAGCTGAGATGTTTTGGCTGAGAAATGCAGAGGTCTGCCTATGGCAGAAGTGGTATTAGAAACCATGTCTGTCCGAGGTTGACAAAACATGACTTTGAAGTGGTTTTTAATACAAAGTAGTTCTGCTCACCCTTGCAAGCAAACCATGTTGAAATGTTTGCATACTAATTAGCGTGCACCTATCAGTTTTCTCAGACTGTCCCTTTGACACGCAGCTTTGCCTGCAATAACAGTCCCGATAAGGCAGCACAGTGCAGTTATATCCTGCAGGAGGAGGGTGGGGAATGAAGGGGAGACTACCAGTTCTGGGAAGTAACAGGGCAGGAAGGAAGCAAATGTTTCCTTTCCTTTTCCCACATTATCACCAAGGTCTTCAAGGCAGAAGGAGATACAAGCGGAGGAAGAGAAGAGTTTGTTGGAGGCGATAGGACTGGCACAGACGTGGGCAGACTGGGGAGTCAATTTCTGATGGGGAAATGGTGATTGTACTGCATTTGCAGCAGCAGCTAAATTCTTGCGGTTAATAGTAATGTAACAAATGTTGCTTTAACAGCTTCATTCTCTTGTCACTCCTGTCACCTTTTTTGCTTACGTTCTCAAACACGACCAGAATACATTTTCCCTTTTGTCACTGCCTGCCTCTTCTTGCTCCCAGATATTCGATGACTTCAATTTAGCTGGTGTTAATGTAACTCCAAAGCAATTTGGAATTCTATTATTCTGAAAGAAGCTAAAGCAAAATGGGGCTCTTTCCTACAGACATTCGTGCACATAATTAAAGTCATTCAAACAGTTAAGTGTGCTTAGAATTGGGCTCTGGATTTGTACTTTATTGGTAATCTCCCATAGAAAACCAAGGTTAATTCATCCCTGTAGTTATAGTTTGAAAGTATTAAAATGCTTACTTAACAGCTTAAAACTGTTGACTTTGAAAGATTTAACTGTCTGGATATAAAGTTGCTGTATGACCTGGAAAAAGTTTTGATTTAAAAAGTAGAATGATTTGTGTTCATGTTACCTCACAGGCATTTCAAGTTTGTTTAATGGGCTTATTTTAAAAATGTCTTCATTTTGGTTTATGTCTGTTTTTCGATAGAAACTTCAGAGCTTTATATTCAAAAAGTGAAAGAGCTCTTCTGTTTTCACTGCTTGAGAAGGGGGTGATTCAGTTTGATTTATGTATGGGCTAGCTCACCACCTACGAAATGCAGACCTATAAAATATTTTTTTCTCACTTTCTGATCAGAAAATTCACTTGAATAAGACCCAAATATTCTTACATATTATAAAGTATTCCTCTCATGTAAAGAAAAGTCTGACTTTTTATTTTTAATGAAAATCCCAATTTCCATGCTGAGACCAAGTTACAAGAATGTGTAGTTGTTTGGCTGGCCAGGACTCTGGGAAGAGCACCCACTGCTCTGGCTTTCCATTGAGAAGATTTCCTGAGCCTTCAGAAAGCTAAAAGGTAGGCATGATCCTGCTGGTGCTGCAGGCAGCCTTGCCTGAAAAGCTGGGCTAATTTATTGGCAGTGCAGGAACTGCTCATGGGTAGGGAGTTGCAGAAATCCCACGCGACTTTTCCAGGTTGAGGTGGGGGAACGAGGCTGTGGATGAGCCTCCTTGCCAGGTACCTGTACCCATGGCTAACTGTGGCGGTTTGGCTGGTTGTGACCATGGGGTTTCTATGGGTGAGACCTGGGAGGTGGCCAGCTCAGTCTCTGCAGGCTTCTTAATTCAGACACAGAACAGAACAAAAGTTTTGGAGATTGCAGGGAGAAAGCTCCCTGGTCTTTCTGCAGAGAGGCAGTTTCAGGCTTCTCAGTTCCTCCTCCCCACATCCAAGCTGACTCGCATGGGGCTGTCTGTGCGTGTTTCACTGGTTTACCTAGACACACCGGCATGGTTCTTGGAAAACTGAGCTGGTTCTCATAGGGTTTTGACAGAGTTTATGAGTCTAGAAAGAGGTTTTATGGGTAGCAGAGTTGTCTGTACACATTACAGCATAACTTGATGTGATCAGATTCATAGCAAGTGGGCCTATGTATACAAGACTAGTCATACATGTACTCTTGTTCTGACTCCGACGGCTTGTTCATTATCTGCATTTTTGCATTACCTGAGTTAGTGTCTGCCTCTTTTCCCATTCCTTTGGATCATGGAGTGCTCCATGTATATAGGTGGCTAAGTCCTGTGACCTTCGGTTGGTGTCAGGGACGCACAACTGGTGATGAACACTGGAAGAACAGCTGAGAAGTGAGGCAGTTACCTGTGGGGAAGCTTAGTCACTGCACAATCTATAATCGCTTTTTTCCCAGTTGTTTTTGTTTTGTTCTCCTGGGTAATATTTTTATCAAACAAAGCTTGTACCACCCAAGCAGGTTAAATGCTAAAGGTGACTGGACTGTGAAGACTGAGTTGCATTTCTCTTGGTAAAACTTTTTGACTTTCTGAGATGTGCTCTGGCTTTGGTGGAGAGAAGAATGCTCAGCCGTCTTAAAAAGAAGGTAAAACACAATACTGAGGTGCAGCAGCTCTAGTGGTCATGACTAGGCTTTGCTATTCCTTGAAATAGCAGTGTGGCTAGGTAAAGATTCATAGTGTTTTTTTAATTTGTTTGGTTAATTTTTCAGGCCAAACGAGACAGTGAGAACAGACAGTGAGGTTGGGAGAACATCTGCATTGGTCTTCTGTGTGCCAGTGGTCATGGAATTTGTCCTAGCTGTTCTCCACAACATCCAAGAAAGGTGTCGTGGTCTGGTGTCAGTCACGGTATAGCCCTCATTGACAAGGATGTTTTCAAAAAAAGTGAGACTGCACCGCATGTCACATTTCAGCAATAGTCACCAAGTGATGTCATCTCCTAAACATAGGAAGACAACAGCAGGTAAAGCTTTTAATGACACCCAAAGCAGTAGTACAAGAGTCCACTTCCAGCAGCTGTTGGGTAACTCCCAGTGTAGAGACAGGAGGAGCTTGAGGCCTGTGGGAGAAGGGAGGGAGAGTAAAACATGCCAAAAACTGTGAAACTTGCCTTCTGTCTGTGGTTTTACTGTGACTTGTGGATGTTCAGGGTGTGATTGCTGCTGTCAGGAGCATGTTGGGCAGTGCTGTTTGTTTTAATACCTCTATTTTAGGTGCTGTTTACCAAGCGGTTGTTAAGGGGGATGACCAGAGCCGACAGTGAGGCAAGGGGAGCGCAGAGCAAAGTTTAGCTACGCTTGCCTACTTTATGAATGATACGTTAAAACTTAGCCACTAAAAATAGTAGATTCGCTGTGCCTCTTTGTAAATCTCTGTGGGACTGAAGAAGCGATTCTGAACTGAAACGCACTCTCCCTGAGGGACTTTTTTCAGCACTGAGCCCAATTATTTTTTAAATGAGGGGTTTAGCCCTCCAGGGAAGCTATAAATATGTCCATAGCTGAGCTGTAGTGGGTTATATATTCCCAATTGTCCTATTAAGGGAATTCAGTAAAGAAAACAGGAGACCATTTCTCCCTAGTAAAAGTACTAGCAGCTGTTTTCTTGCAGTCTAAGTGATACTGCACATTTTACTCTTGAATATAGTGTTTGGCCACATCTAACTTCATGAAAATTTAATATCTCAGTGGTTGAAACTGGCCACTTTTGTTTTTTGGATCATGGCTGGTGCAGACACTTTAAGTGTCTGTTGATAATTGCTTCTAAGGTTGAGAGACAAGAAACAAATCTTTTGTATCTTGGGGCAGGAGGGAATAAGCAGACACAGAATAATTCACGTTGGAAAGGAGCTCCAAAAGTCATCCGGTCCATCCCCTGCTCAAAACAGAGCTAACTCCAAGTTAGATGAGGCTGTCAAGCCAAGCATTGAGAATCAGGGATACAGAGTCCAGCCCTGCTGGGCTCCCACTCCAGGGCTTAATAGGTCTTGTGGGAAAGTTATTTTTTCCTTATGTCCAAGTGAACAAGTCGTCTTCTGCAGAGCTGCTTTCTAGCCAGTTGGTCCCCAGCTGTGCTACTGAATGGGGTTGTCTGTCCTAGGTCCATCTTGCCTTTGAACTTCTTAAGGTTCCTGTCATCCAGCTTCTCTGCTGTGCTGAAGTTTCTCTGAATACCAGCTTTCCCCTCCAGAGCATTAACCTCTTCCCCCAACTTGGTTTCACCTGCAAACTTGCTGAGGGTGCTCCCCATCACATTGTCTGTGTCACTGATGAAGATGTTAAACAGAATTGGCTTGTAATCAGCTGTGAGTTAAGACTTTGAACCTTCAGCCACAACCTCTTGAGCCTGATGGTCCAGGCAGTTTGTCACATACCTTATAGTGCACTTGTCTAGTTGGTGTCTTCCCCGTTAGACTGCAAGCATATTAAGGGAGACTGTTAAAAGCCTTGCTGAAGTAAAAGGGAAATTTTGTTTTCCCCAAAGCCAGTCATTCCATCCTAGAAGGCAATCAATCAGGTTGGCCAGTCATTATTTGCTCCTGTTAAATCCATGGTAGCTGTTCCCAGTCACCTTTTTACTGTTCATAAGCTGGAATGGTTGCCACAAGGACTTGCTCTGTGATCTTCCCTGGAACTGAAATGAATCTGACAGACTTGTTCCCTGGGTTGTTCTGCTTTCCCGTTTTGAAGGCGAGTGTAACTTTTGCCTCCTCTAGTCAACATGACCTGTCAAAGGTGAGAGAGGGCAGCTGTACAGTGATCTTGGCCTGTGCCTTCTGCATGTTCAGACGAATCGTTTCTTGTCCTATCTACTTATATGTGTCTAATCTAGGTAAGTAGTCCTTAACTCAGTCACCTGTTACTGAAGGAAGCAGTTTGAAAAAGACAAAGTACTAGGCAGAGAGACATGGGGTGCTTGAGAGCAGACCTTGCCAGTGATGACTAAGGAGGCAAGGAAGGTACGAAGTACTTCAGTAGTTTCCTTGTTCTGCATGATGAGTTCTCCTGCCCTGTTCAGCACTGGGCCAGCGTTCTCCTTCCTCCCTTTTGCTGCTGACGCATCCACAGAAGCTCTCTGTTGCCTTTCCCATCCCTTGCAGGTTTCCCATCCTTTGCAGGAACTCCAGCCAAGCTATAGACTTCCTAGCTCTCTCCTTGCATTCCTCCTGTATTCCTCCCAGGGAGCCTGTCCCTGCTTACACCTTCTGTAAATGGCTTTTTTAAGTTTGAGCTCACTCAGAAGTTATTCTTCATGCAGGCCAAAACTTGCCTTCTGCCTTAGCTCCTTGTTTTCTTGCACACTGGGGTGGATTGTTTGTGTGCTTTAGAGAGGTTGTCTTTCAATTTCAACCATTTCTCCTGAGTCCCTTGGCATTTCAGGTAATTCTCCCACAGTCTACCACTTACTAATTTCCTGAACAGGCCAAGACTGCTGCTCTGAAATCCAGGATCTTTTTTCAGTTATTTGCCTTCCTCACTTTACTCAGTATTTTAAATTCTTACATCACTTCATAGTCGCTCTGGCTAACGCTGCCGTCAGCCTTCATGTCCCTAGCCATTTCTTCCTTAATTTGTACCATGTACAGCAGTGTGCATTGTCAAAGGAGTGCCTGCACAAAGTCTTTGATGCTCGCCAGATTGCCTGTGCCCTGCTGTTCTGCTCTTCCAGCAAATGTCTCAAAGTTCCCTGTGAAAAAGGCCCTGTAATTGTGAGGCTTCTTTGAGTTGTTTAAAGAAGGTTTTGTCCGCTTTCTCTTCTTGACTGGGCAGTCTGTAGCATATGCATACCATGTTTACCCCTTGCTCACCACCGCTGTGATCCTCATCCATGAGCCTTCATCCTTGACTCCTTGGATCAACAATATGTTATGTTGTTGAAATGGTGGGAAACAGTGTGCTGACGTAGTAAACTGGTGAGAAAATATGTTTGCACACAAGGGGAATATCAGCTTACTCCTCCTCCCTGCATGACTTGGGACGAGTCACTTCCCCTCTCTTCTGCTTCCCCATGTCTCAGACTGTGAAGTCTCTGTGGTAAAGACTGTCCCTTACATCAGGTCGGTGTGTTCCCTGCCCTTCTATAACAAAGACAGCTGATGTGCAAGCACTGCTGTCTTCCAAAGATTGCAGGCATCATCGCATTAGTATTTCTGAATGTCGCCTACAACCTGTCTTTGTGGGAGCTGAGATTTGGTGATACAGAGAACCTGCAAATCCACTTCCCAGTGGCAGAGTAGGATGGCAATGTTCCCATGCACCAAAGCAAAGCTGGAAGGAAACCTGGTTGCTAAAAGCAAGTGTATGATGTTTGTACAGGATTCTCTCATTACCAGGAACATAGTGATTTGGGGCATAGACAGGGGAAAAGATCATACTTTAATTTCCTCTGCCAAGTGTAAGGATTTTGAATTTCCCCGAGTTATGAGTAAGCTGGTTAGGACAACAGGGCAGGATGAAGGCAAAAGGCAATGTAGATGAGTGTATGATGAAAATAAATATTCAAACAACGTGTTCAAATTACTTATACATGTGGAAAGACAAAACATTTGCTGTATTTTTCAGTCAGGAGGAATCTTTACATACTCTTGAATAGCTGATATCTGCTTCGTTCACTGTCAAAGCTTAACTTCGTTAAGTCAAGCCTTATTTTCTTTTTTGTAGTATTTAATAGGGCCTCCTTGTTTGGGTTACAAAACATGGAGGTTCTTAGTGCACTGTGTGCTTTTTTTCTGTACCTTACACCTAGGAATCCGCATTTTTAGGCTCAATTATGTGCATGAAGACCTTAATTAAGAAAAAATATTTTTCTAAACTATCCTGCTTATGATGTTCAGTGGTGTTTCCTCTGCCTCCTACATACTCTTCTCTGTGTTTTGCATTACCAATAGCTAAAAGCTACCTGCTGCCAAGTTGTTCACCTTAGTTTTCTGCTGTGAGAACTGTGCTGCGTCTCTCGACTTAGGTAGTTTTAAGTAGTGTTTGGCACTGTGTGGCATATTGGCCATGGTGGTCAAGTTTAGCTCCCCTTCTGAACTTCAGGTTGCCAGTGGCTGTAGATCAGACAATAAAGGAAAAATGGTTTAATTAATCTTAATACCATTTTGAGCCTACTGCTGCAATCAGTTGATCATGTTTATAGACCTACTTATTCTGACATAAAACCCTACTGAAAGAAAAGGAACTTCAATGAACAATGTGAGGGTTTGCAAGATCCATCCCTTGCTCATATCAGTAGCTATGCCTTGTTTTGAACAAGGCTCGATTTACTTTAATTTCTATATTAGTGCAGGTTACATTGAGCAGAACATTTGATGTATCTAATTGATTTTCACTGTAATACTGTTGAAACACAAGTCACTGCTGTATAATCATTTGTTTCACCCTTAAAATTCTGTATACAGATCTGGTCCCCTGCGATATCAGTGTGTAACCAGATGCTCTGTGATCTAATCAAGGAATATGCTATCGCTTCAACACTTAGCAGCAGAAAACTTCATCAAAATGGAAAATTTATCTAATATTTAAAGTAAAATGCAGTTCAAAGAGACAACCATGAAAAGCAGGGGTGTACAAAATTTTAAGACATTTCTCAGGTTAAAAAAAGCAAAATCCAAGCAAGAGCTTAAGATGATTTGTCATGGCTCCATTTATTGTTAAAGAAGAAAATGTTATAGCTGTCACTTCAGTTTATAGGGTTTGTTCCTGTTCAGTTAAAATAGCATCACCATCAGAAATGACTGACTAGCAGGATTTCATTAATGTGATACTTATTTGCCACAGCATGCATGCTTTGGAAAGTAATTTTGAAAGGCACCTACAGAAGCATCAGTAGCAGGCAAGACTTGTGCTCTCATTTTGAGACTAGGATTTGGATCTCTGAGGGCCTCGTGCCACAGTCCATTTCAGAAATACAAGTCCTGCTGACCTTGAAGGAGTTTTGCAAGCGGTGTGACGTAGGCTGTGGAACAGACCTGCTTGCTGCAGTGAGTCTGACCAGAAGCATCCCCTCCGGCTGGGACAGCAGGAGTGCAGCTCTGCCTGCAGCCAGACAGTATTTCTGTATACACTGCCAGATTTCACCATGAGGTATTCAGAAGGCTAGTGGCAGACAAGGGTGATGAGCATCTCCTAGGGTCAGCTCATCTCTCCATAAAGCAAGACAGTCTCTTACAGAAGAATGATCATGTGTTTGCAGATGTCCTTAGCTGTATCAGCTGCTTTCATGTAAATGCCTAAATGGTGAGCAAAATAAGTTGTTGTTTTTTTGTTTTGTGGTTGTTTTTTTTTTTTAATGAATGTACCTTGAGACAGAAAGAATTTTGCATGGCAAAATGTCTTACATATTTGTATTCAATTTCGTTAAGTTGTGGAAAATGATCACTTCTATACATAGGCATGTTAAGTATGTCTCGCTCTTGTCAAGAGCATGCAGTGGAGTTTCTGTACTTTCTCAGCAGAATGCAATGCTATCCTTGGCTCTGTCTGTTGTACTTACGTAGCAAAGGAAGGGAAAGAATTTTAGAGGTAAATTTAAGAAGGAAAACAGCATTCAGTAACCTTGTTGATGACCAGATGAGACTTGAAATAAAGAAAAGGTCAGAAAGGTTACATGTCCTTGGCATTGTTCAACTCTTACTTTAGTTGGCTATAAAGGTGTGGGGGGGATGTTGTTGGTTTGTTTTGTTTTTTTCTTTGCTTCTGTGAACTACATGGTGCACAGTTCAGTGTGCAGGGACAGACTCTCCTCATTGGCTCTAGGGATTTATTATGTGACTAGCTTTGCTGGAGTTACGCCAGGATTTCTTTGACATTCAGAGCCCGCTGACTTCAGTGAGCTTACAGGAGTAAGTAAGAGCTAGAAGAGAGTGAGGGAATGCCCAGACAGGCAATGAAACAAGGCACTACCTTTTCTTCAAGTTCCTGGGAGGTGCTGGTGGGGTAAATGCTGCCAGACAAATATAGTGTACTGAGAAGAAGGGCAGAGTTTGTTGCTAAGTGTTGTTACAGGTCAGAAAATCATGTTAAGAAAGAATCACTAATGACTTTGACTTTTAATATATGAATACAATATTTATCACTTTCCTTTGTTGTGTTTTTAGGGTCTCATGACTCATTTAGCTTCTACATCGATGAAGCCTCTCCGGTTGGGCCTGAACAGCCAGAGACGGTACAGAATTTTGTGTCTGTTTTTGGGACTGTGGCTAAAAAGCTGCTGAGGAAGTGGCTGGCTACACAGACCATGAACTTCACCAGCCAGCTGGGGGCAGGTATACGGTATTTTGATCTTAGAATTTCCACCAAGCCCAGAGACCCAGACAATGAACTCTACTTTGCTCACGGTTTATTCAGTGCCAAAGTCAAGGAGGGTCTGGAAGAGATCAACGCATTTCTCGCTGACCACCCAAAAGAAGTGGTCTTCTTGGACTTCAATCACTTCTACGGGATGCAGAAATACCATCATGAAAAGCTTGTCCAAATGCTCAAAGACACATACGGAAACAAAATGTGTCCTGCTATATTTGCCCATGAAGTCAGCCTCCAGTACCTGTGGGAAAAGGAACACCAAGTGCTGGTGTTCTACCACAGTCCAGTGGCTCTCGAGGTACCATTTCTTTGGCCGGGCCAGATGATGCCAGCTCCCTGGGCAAACACAACAGATCCGGAAAAACTGATTCAATTCCTCCAGGCATCCATCACTGAAAGAAGAAAGAAGGGCTCCTTTTTTATATCTCAAGTAGTGCTGACGCCAAAGGCTAGTACAGTGGTGAAAGGGGTTGCTAGTGGTCTCAGAGAAACAATCACAGAAAGGTAAGTTTCTGGTGGGTAAGGTGTGCTGACTGTGCTGAATGTGTATGTTGGTAATGCTGCTTTTCTAATTCTTTTTAAAGAAACTCTAGCAGATGTATTTCTTCCATGCTACTGTGGGTTAGTCAGAACTTGGGCACAATCCTAAAATATTTGAAAAGCAACACACTGAAGGAGAAGCTTTTGTATCTTGAAAGAAAATCTGGCACTAAGGCCTAATGAGATCTTACTGGATTGGCCTAGCCTTTTTTTTTTTTTTTTTTTTCCTGAGTGCAGGTTTTTCCCATTTGTTTTGTTTTTCAAATGTGGTTTCTTACCATGAGCACTAAACATCTTGCCTTGGATTTCCTTACTGAATGTGGACAAATCTGTCTGAATGATCTAGATAATTTTTTATTTATGCGTCAGGCTTCAGGTATTGGATAAATGTTTTTTTTCATTTGGGCTCATTAGCAAAGCCTGACACTGCAGAATTTGTATCCTTAACTACCTTTACACACCTTAAAGATGTGTGGCTTTTCTCTGTGCATACCATCACACATTATATCAAAGATATCAGGGCACCGTTAATGTGAATTTGCCTCCTAACAGGCCTTCATTGATCATACAGAAAAGAGACTGCAGACCATTGTAGAGGTTGTATACATGGAATACTGTGTTGACAGGCCATTAGTTGTTACATTAAAAAAAAAGCTGTCTGTTCAAGACATGCATTATTTATACCATTCTGACTTTGATAAATCACAGCCAATTTTCAGCTTAAAGGCATATATGTGTGACTATGTTCTTGACAGCTTGGTAGGAAACCTGAAATTTAATGCCAAGACACAGGAGCTATTTTTTTTTCCGCTTAAAAAAAAGAAGAAGGGTTGCAGAGTATAAAAAATTTATAATGGGGATCAATGGTGTGCTAATGTTCTGCTTCCTGGATGGCTGTAGCTGTGGCAGGAAGGTCTGTTGGGAATGCTGTCCCGTTCTATGAGATGAATGACGCAGTGCCTGTGACACTACACCCTGCAAAGAAAACATGCCTCATTTTTGACAAAGGTTGAGCCATTTTTATGGCAGCTTTCCTAAGCGACTGTTAACTTTAAAAAACAAGGAAAAACTTTACCTGAAATGGTAAAACACTGACACAGAAGGTTTTATAAGCAGTGAGTATGATTCAGAAGTGCTTGTGCGACTGCATTTGCAGCTGTTTGTATATCCTCCACATATGTTTTTATAGGCTCCATTGAGCTGGGGATCTCCCTTTCTGGTGAGTCTGAAGAGCACTTCTCTGTACTGAAATACTGCTTTGTTGATGGATTTTACTGTTAAACACTCAGCTTGTTGTTCAGGGATTTGTTTTCCCTGGTAAACATCTTTCTGAGTGTTCTTTAGAACATAGAATCGTAGAATATCTCAAGTTGGAAGGGAGCCATAAGGATCATTGAGTCCAACTCCCTGCTCTTTGCAGGACTACCTAAAACTAAGCTATATGACAAAGATCATGAAGTAGCACAATGAAGAAACTACCAGGTTCGTAAAACTTGCTGCATCAATAAAATAGCCATTAAAAAACCTTTTCTTCTTCTCTGACTCCTAATGTGCTTCCTTGAAGGTGTTTGGAAAAATAAAAAGTTCAGGTGGTTTCTGGATATGTTTGGCTGAGCTCTGAGTGACTTGAGCCTTTGGACTCTTAGTATGCCTTTCTCTACAGCAAATTTTGAGATTATAACTAACTTGAAATGTCAGTAAATAATTGGGCTGGAATACCTGGAAATGTTGGTTTTCCAAATTGCAACTGAGATTTTACACGAGCCACCAGTGTGTAATCACATCTGCTGCATGAATAATTTTTTCTTTCTTTGCATAACTCTTTTAACCATTGATAAAGAAATGGACCTTCAAAATTATCTCCAAAGCTGGTATTTAGTCTTCCAAGTATGGCATCTCATTTTGAAATCCTTCTACTTACTACAAAAATACACTGCAGGAAGACACAGGCTTGGAATGTGTGTTAATCTACACAGAAACTGAGCTCGTATATTGAGTTAACTGCTCTGAAAGTAAACATGAAGTATACTCAGAACTGCTCCTCATTTCATGATGATCCTGTTAAAAAAATAAATAGATGAGCAATTAAAGGATGCAGTACAATTAGTAGAATTTACAGGATTCTCTTCAATCTCGCTGCATTAATGTTTCAGTAACTTAAAAGTACGTAATCCATACTAAAGGAGCTGGAGCATAGTTCCAGCTGCACTGTGTTTGCTACTTTGAACCATCTCATAATTATTTGTAAAAAGATTATTCTGTCCTTTTCAGAATAAATACACAGCTCAAATTTCATTATTGTGTCCAGGTAGATAACATATGTGCTTTTGTTGCCAGTTGCTGCATAGATTTATACACTTCATACTATTTTCTGCTTATTAATACGTGCTGGCAAAGAGCTTTGCATTAAGAATGCAGTATCTTGCTTTTGGCAGCAGTTTTGTAACCATACTTGGGTGGGGTTTTTCCCTCGCATTGAATTTTGAAAGATCTGAAGGCAAATGTGGAATAAGGTTGAACTTTTCAAATAATTCTGGCGTGGAGTTTTTTTCTCCTAAATTAAATACTATGTTTAAGAAATGATCCTTTGTAGTTTTCAAATAAAACCCATAGTCGTCTCTTTTTTTCCCCCATCCCTACACTGACCATTTCCATTTACATATTGACTTAATTCTGAAAATAGAGCAAGTTTAGATGCTTTCAGATCCAATAAAACATACCGGGTTTTGACCTCTGAGGTTGTTTGTTGCTCAGGAGATTATTTACAATTTGAAGTGCAGTGGCCACCTGAAAGGGAGAACATGGTTTCTCTCAATTGTGGCATCCGTCAGACCGGGAAACCTGCAAGCAGACACTATGCAGCAATCCGTGCTCCTTTCTGCTGCTTTATAGCTCATGGTGTGAAAGAGCACAGTGAAGTATTCCTCCGTAGCCAACACAAGATGGTTGCTTTAATAGCACTTCGTCGTGGCTGCTTGTGGCGGTGGAGGCCCACATGTTAAAACTGCAGTAGAGCAGTCCTAAGGCGACGCGTTTCAGAAGAAGTGATTCCTCATCCTGTTCCCTACAGCATGGATATGTAGAGAGATGGAAGCCCCATGGTAACCTTGATTAAAAAAAAAAGTTTCATGCTTCTAAGACTGAATTTAGTAGAAGATACACCAGTACTGTTTTTTACTGATAATGCTTGCTCACAGGCCTTGCTCCTGTCATCACATTTAATACTCTGTGGGACAATAATTTAAGAAGGAGAAATTATAAAGTCATCAAGCTTTCTATCCTGCACAAATACAAGAGGGAAAAGCTGTTTCTCTTGAGCTCTTCCTAGGACCACAGCTCAGCATTACAAAACTTTGTAACACAGCTTTCATCTTCATTACTTGAATGAGGAGAATCACTTGCATGTGTGCATGTTACGTTTCTTGGATTTGATGAAAAACTTTGAGGACTAAGAATATGTTTTCAGGCTTAACATTCTGTCACACACAGTTTAGATGCCAAGAAATACTCTTTGATTAGCAAACAGTACGTACCAAATGAATTACGTTCCCTCTGCTTATTGAATTAACTTCACAGTGAGGCAGCTGCCTTCAGTACGTCTGAAAGGCGGTTGTGAAACAACCTTTTGATGAGTGTAGAGCTGTTCTTCATAATAATCTAGTTTGTTTTCTGATTTGCAGTGAAATTACTAATTTTATCTCTGATGCTGGAGACAAGCATGATATTCTCTTTGTTGTCTCTGAGGTTGATTAATACAGAAGAATAGGTATCCTTCAGAGGATGCAAAAATCCTGTGATACTTTTAAAGCTTTTGAGAAATAGAAAATAAACACATACCCAGCTGATTGTCACTTGATTTCCAAATTAATCTCTAAGAATAATGTTCCCTGTAGCTTACATGTGACTAAATCCTTGCCCACCATGCTCAAGCTTCCCCCTTAGCAACCAAAGCAAATAAAAAAAAGAAAATCCTGCACATAAGGAACCTTTGAAGTGGAGGCAAAGCATCCACACTGTTAACAAAAGGGGTGGTAAGTAGGCCACAGAAGCTGTCTGGAGAAGAGCCATCTCTGGGTGCAGTTGTTAACTAAGCAGGGTCAGATTTAGCTAGCAAATAGGTGGATATTATATGAAAAAAAAAATCCCTGGGAGTCGCAAGAAGTGGGATTTTTGAGTCAGTTACCGAGGGTGCACTCCTCTCCAAGCCA